ATTGCAACAAGATGTACGACATCAAATCTGCGGTTCAATAGCTGGTGGATTAGAGGTAAAACCATCCATTCGCATATTTTTGAATGTGTGGAATTCACAGTTTTACGTAATTATGGTGTCCATCATTTCATTTCGAGTACTCTTGTAGTCCCTCTATTTAGAAATAGATGATCTTGTAAACAATGTCACGGTTCTCATCCAGGACATATACTATATTTCAGCTGTAACCTTTCGCGAGCATCTTTTTTATTTCTGAAAAATGTCGAATGTGCTTATGAGATTATTCCGAATCATGGCAAACTCCATACTTTCAACCAATAGCATCATTTAGAGTGAATAAAGTTCACCCTTTGCCGGAGAAAAAAATAGTGTCATGTGACGGTGGTGATGTGATGAGATGACTCCCCCGCCCATCATCTCGTGTATGTATGCACTTTTGTTACGGAATTCTTTTTGTAGTTGTTCGTGACGAGAGATCGTGTATTTTCTGGTTGTGTAGGGGGCGGAGCGTGATTACCACGCTGTAGCCGGGGACTTTTGGGAGCTGGGACGGCGAGGCCGCCAAGGCAAGGAATCGAGGAGGAGATATGCGTTGACGTGTAAGCGACGTGACGGTGACGTGGAGATAAGGTTGGTTGCCCTCACGTGCAAGCATCCTCCTGCTGCCGCATTTGCAACTGACAGGTGAGGTCGCCGATACGGCCATGATTTGCCTTTGTTTTTTGTTACGTGGATACGTGGATACGGCCATTGCTTTCAGAACCAACGTGTCAGCTATACTCCTCAGTTCACATTAAAAAAGGGTGATGTCCTATTGCCACGTGAAATTTCACGTTGAAACGTAGCACGAGATGTGAGCTACAGATAAACAAATTCGATAATTCAATGCTGATTTTGGTTTTCTTTCATAGCTGTTTGAACTTGAACTTTCACCCGGCAATGAAACATCACCCTTTTAGGGGCTGTTCGGCATTGCTCCGCTCCACAGCCCTCCGAACGGAGTTGGCGGAGCGGTAGGTCAAAATGGTGGAGTTGCCATTTACCCGCTTCGCAGATTTCCGAAGCGGAGCATTACCGAATAGGGCCTTAACGTCCGTATTTGTTAAGATTTTTTTGAAACTTCAAATCATCGTTTCGTCTGATTTCTACCCTAATTCTAAACCCTAAAACCTAAACCACCTTGGGTCCCGCGCGTGGTCCTCTACTGACTCATGTGTCCCCAACTTCGTCTCGTCTAAAAACTTTCGAAACTAATTTTCTGAAGATAAAAAATTGTCCTTGCAAAATTGATTTTCCTGAAAAGTCTAAAAACAGCAAAACAACAACAACTGAGCACTTAAATAATAGATTTAATCAAAAAATTAATTAAAAGTAGATGCCAAAACTATGCAATAATGATATAATTATAGAGTGGAAAGACAAAAGTTACGGACACATGTATTGACCAGCGAGCTCGTCGCCAGGGATGCGAAGACTCTATTTCCTCGCCGCCAAACATCCGACCTTTCTCCTCCTTCATTGCAACCCGCGCGCAGACCCACCGCGTGCTGGACCAGAGCGTTCACACTTAGAGCATCTACAGCCGGATCTCTCAAACCCGTCTCAAACGCCCGGTAGGCCGCCCGGTCACTGTCCGCTCGTGAAAAACTGACCCAGACGGGTTCCTTAAACGGGTCTCAAACGCCCAGAATGACCGGCACCCCTCGTATTCAACCCAAATATAGGGCCGATATGGGGGCGTCTAGGCGCGTCCTCCATGTCGGCTTGGCCCACTCGGAACCCACAGATATCCTCATCCGGAAAACCCTAGACACCGGTCAATCCGAACTCCACTTCACCCCCGTGCCTATTCACTCCACTTCCGACCCCCACTTCGACCCGATGGCCGACGACGGAAGCAGCGCCGGCCCCGGCGGAGAATCCGACGCCTCGACCATGGATGCGGAGGAGGTCGCCCTCCGCATCGCCCTGAGGCAGTCGCTGCTCGACCAAGGCAGCAGCGGCAGTGGCAGCGACATGTCTTCTTCCTCAGCGCCTGTAGCCCGTCGATGCAGCACCTGCGACGTCCCGCTCGGCATGCAGCTCTGCCCACTCCGTTCCTGTCGTTCAGATACGCCGACAACCTCCACCTATTCCGGAAGTGGTGCACCACTCGGACCTCGTGCCCGCGCAGGTGCCGGCGCGCACGGACGCCCGAGTCTGAGGCACGAGCAGCCTGCCGCGAGCGGCAACAGGCAAGAGGGCGACAGCGAGGGAGACGCTGACCGCACGACAGTCACGCGCGACCGCGACGGTCGATCCCAATGCCGCACTCCTCGCGTCGGTCCTCCACCGCTCTCTCACAACAGCAGAGATGGATGCGCGGTGCCTCCGCTGCGAGAATGGCAAAGCACTTTGACTCGCCATCGAGTTATTGGAGCGCGAGGCAAGCAAGGAGACAGCGGGAAGGCGGCCCGCCATGCAAGGAACAGGACTGCCTGCTCCGCAGGCTGTCGGGCCGAAGCTGTTGCTCGGACTCCGACTTAACGAGCGGCTCCACCTCCAGCTCTGACGACGACGGACCACCGCACGCCGACGCCTACACGGAGTAGGGGCATAGCCGCATCGAGGACCGGAAGGTGAAGGGGCCGGCGAGGAAATGGTGATTTCCTCCGCCCTTCGCCCTTGTGTTTATATTTTAACTATATTTTAATTAGTTTGTAGTATGGATCTGCACTGCTCCGATGAACTATGCTCCTTTTGTCCGATGATGAAATGATGATCTGATGAACTGCGTGTGATGATCATCTTTTACGTAGCGTTGCATGCTTTTGCATCGTTTGAGGGTTCAGATATAAGGAATGTGGATGTACAAGTCAACAAATAAGACGTGTCCGGTCAGTGTCCGCGTTCGCGGGCGTTTGAGGGCTTGGATTTGCACATCGCGACTGTAGATGCTTTTAGAAACCGTGAGCAAATCTCCTTTGTTTCCGCCAGCTTCACGTCATCGTCGGTGCATAACTCCGCTTCCATCGCAGGCTTGCGTCCATCGCCATTCGCGAGCGGCAAAAGCGAAGAGAGCCGGGAGAGTGGTGACTGCTAGTGGGGAGGGCGTGGTGAATGCAAAGTAGGTGCGTGAATGCGAGTGGGTCAAATACTGAAATTGAATCAGCAAAGTGTGTCCAAACTGAAACTGAAACTAGCATACTGAAACCGACACTTGCATACCGAAAACGCGCAAAATGAAGTGAAAATGAAATATTGACTGAAACTAGTTTTTTTTTTGTTGTTGGTAAAAATGAAGCTTTTGCTGAACTAGTGTCTGAGCTGGTGAGTTGCTCTGAAGTGTAAAAGTGTCCAGTTTGCTCTCTTTCTTTGAATTATCTATTCACCTCGAAGGATCACTATCAGGAGCCAAGATCTCTAATTTTCGGCTCACCTCAGCCTATGAGCATAACTCTGCAAACTGAAACATAGAACTTGAGCAGGCAACAAATTCAGAACAAAGTTCAGACTTTACATTCATTTCAGAGCATTGAGTACAACATTTTCTGTCTCACTTTGCAAACAACTGAACCAGGCTGGCAACAACTACTATAAGCCATATAAATCACACTCACAATACACAGGAACTTGAATTTATTCATCTTCAGTTTCCTAGCATTGGCCTTTGGTTCACGTCATCACGCAAATCACCATGCGGCAGTTTGGTGGGGTGAGAAAAAAGGTAGAAGAGAGATTTTTGTGTCCGAGGGGAGACGGTGTAAAGATCAGTCGATCTAGAAGAAGTGTTTCCCTATTCATATATGATAGGTTCTGTTCGATTAGTGCAAGTCACGCAAGGCTATTTTTGGCCAAAAAAAATATTCATATCTTCGCTTCTCATTTCGGCATGCAATGAGAGCAGTGTTTGGGTAGCAAAAAGATGCAGAGATACAGCATTGCAGCTTACATGTAAAGGACTCAAACAATATTCATAAACTTCCAACCACAGTTATATAGCCCTAAAACCATTACGTAACAATGTTCGTAAAAAACAATTACAGTACTTAACAAATTATAAAAACTACAGCTAAACCCTAGCTAGATAGTTCAAGCTCTCGTAGGTAAAACCCAAGACTGTATGTATCTAGTAGCAGGCACCGCCCCTGAGGGCGAGGACGAGGTGGAGCACGTCGCCGGCCTTGATATTGTAGTCCTTTGCCGCCTTGTCGTCGGCGAGCTGCTTGCCGGCGAAGATGAGCCTCTGCTGGACGGGCGGGATGCCCTCCTCCTCGACGCGCTCCTTGATGCGGTCGACCGTGTCGGTGTGCTCGATGTCGACCTCGATCTCCTTGCCGGTGAGCGTCTTGACCTTGATGGAGAGGCCGCCGCGGAGGCGGAGCACGAGGTGGAGCGTCGACTCCTTCTGCACGTTGTATCGGCGAGCGTGCGGCCGTCCTCGAGCTGCTTCCCGGCAAAGATGAGCCGCTGCTGGTCCGGCGGGATCCCCTCCTTGTCCTGGATCTTGGCCTTGACGTTGTCGATGGTGTCGCTGCTCTCCACCTCCAGCGTGATCGTCTTCCCCGTCAGGGTCTTCACGAAGATCTGCATCTTTGAAAAAAGGCGAGGTACAAGACTTGGGTCCTCGACGAAGCTTTAGATTCAGCTTCGATCTCTCTAGCTTCTAGGTTGCTTGAGAGTTGAGATCGATGGGGCCGTGTGGACTATATATAGATGGAAGCGCGTACGTGGCCGTGAGCTCTGCGTTTGCTCGACTCGGGTTTGGAATCCGATCCCTGCGGTGCCATGATCGATTTCCTGCGCGAACTCTGCAACGATGTCGTTTCGTATTGGGCACATTTTGGGCCCAGCACGTACGGCCCATGGAAAGTGAAAAGGCGATAACTGCGCGATTTTGGACGCGAGGCAGCCCAAGTTGAGGAATAGGCCTGGTTGAGCCCAACCCGGATCGGTAACCAGACAACCCCAGGCCCAGCCGTACCTCCACTGCACCTTCCAACCCACCCACGGCAGCTTCCATGGCGAGGGACGAACCCTCCGCCGCCGCCGTGGACGTCGCCGACGGCGACTCACCCTCCTCCAGCCCAACCCTCACGCGCCTACGGGAAGCACTCGCCGCCCTCTCCGAGGTAACTGGTCGCCCAACTAACCATCTCGAACTCGGCACTTCTCCACGCCTCCCCCCCAAACCGTAAGCTCCTGCCCTGCTCCAGGCGTTCGAGTCCGGCGACACCGCCTCCTCCGACGCAGCCGCTGCCGCCGTCGCCGAGATCCTCAGCTCGTCCGATGCCGACGCGTCCGCCGCGCTCTCCGAGCAGATGCTCCGCGAGGTCCACGCGTTCCTCTCGCGCCCGTCCTCGAATCAGGTCCGACAGAGTGCCACGGTGCCTTCGACTGTTCTTGTCTTCGGCCGCTGAAATTGCGTTCCGTTTTATCCTCCTGATTCCGCTGCTATGCTGTGATAGATGGCCATTGACGCGCTGTCTCTAGAGCTTCCCAAGCCAGTGGCGAAGCTGGGTGCTCGGATGGGGAATTGCCGGGACATTGCCAGAGCAATCATTGAGTTCTTTGCATCGAATTGCAGCCCAAGGGACATGCTCTGCATCCTCTGCGAGGTCAGTTCCGTAATTAATAAATAAGCAGTTCCCACACTTGGAAACTTGAAGCTCCTTTTACCCTTTCAATGGAAG